ATTTACAACTGGATGTGGCAGGACTGCAGATCTGTTGGTTGTGAGATCACTTCGCCCTGTCACTTGTTGCTCATGCTATTTGTCATAGTTGTAGTCCTGTTTGGTAGCTTCACCAGGTTGACACCGCATCTTCAGGTATGCCTAATGCTGTTCCTGGCATCCCTTCTGCACTCTCCATTGAACCACGGTTGATCCACTGGCTTGATGGTTATGCTTAAATAAGGGATATACTGGGCCATGAGGTTGCAGATTGTGTTGGAGTAGAATCCTGCTGTTGCTGATGGCTCACAGTGCCTCATGGATGCTCAGTGTTGAGTTGCTAGATCTGTTTGAAGTCTGTACCACTTACCACGGTAATAGCGCCGCACAACACCCCTGAGAATATCCTCAAAGTGAAGGTGGAACTTTGTCACCACAAGGACTATGCGGTGGTCACTCTTACCAATATGGCAGATTGGGGCCAAGTATGTTTTTCTCTCTCGTTGGTTCCCTCACCATCTGCTACAGATGCAGTCTACCAGTTTATGTCCTTTAGGACCCGATCAGTAGCACTGCTGCTGAGCCACTCTTGGTGGTGGACATTGAAAACCCCCACCCAGGGGACACTTTGCGTCCTTGCCACCCTCAGTGCTTCCTCTAAGTGTTGATGAACATGGAGGAGTACTGATTCATCAGCTGAGGGAGGACGATACATGGAAACCAGGAGATTTCCATGCCTATGTTTAAGCTGAAACCATAAGAATTCATGGGATCTGGAATCAATGTTAGGAATTCTGAGGACAACTCCCTCTCAACTATATACCACTGTGCCACCACCTCGGTCTGTCCTGCCATGGGACAGGACATATCCAGGGATGGTGATGGTGATGGTGATGTCTGTCAGGTATGATTCCATGAGTCAGACTGTTGCTTGACGAATCTGTGAGAGTACTGGACCCCAGATGTTAGGATGGAGGGATCTGCAGGGTCAACAGGGCTGTTTCTGCCAAAGTCTTTTCTGGTGCCTGGGTCAATGCTGGACGATTTTCATTTCTTCATTGAAGTGTTCATAGTGATTGGTACAACTGAGTGGCTTTCGTTCATACTGATTGGTACAACTAAGCCATTTCAAAGGGCAGTTGAGAGTCAACCACATAGTTGTGGGTCAGGAGTCACATGTTGGCCAGACCAGATAAGGACAGCGGATTCCCATCGTGGATTGACATGAGTGAGCTGGAAAGGTTTTTCCGATAATCGACAATACTTTCTTGGTCTTCAGCAGATTCTTAATTCTAAACATTTCTATTGATTTCAAATTCCACAATCTGCCACAGTGGGATTCGAACCCAAATCTCCAGAACATTAGCTCTGCTTCTGTATTAATAGTTAACTGATAATACCACTAGGCCATCACCTCCCTTCGTGGTTAATCCACTTTTAATAAACAAAAAATCAGTTAGTTTAATAGACTGTTGTCCTTTATCTCAAGGGAGTTACAATACAAAGTGAGGAAATTATATTTCTGTTGTGGAGCATTGGTCAGACTACATCTGCATAATTACATTCAGTCTGAAATATCAAATCTCAGATCAGAGAGCTTGACTGTGAAGTGGAGGAGCAGTGTAGATCCAGCAGAATAATCCCACAGATTCAAGGATTGAATTATAAAGTCCTGGTTTGGCATCTGTGCAGCCTTCAGGACTCAATATCGTGTTCAGCAATGTTCGGGTCATAACACCTTCTCCCATGTCCTTCCCCCAACTCCCAAGCACCAGGCCTTGTCATCACACGGGCTGCTTTCATCATGGCCAACCCATTGTCACCCACCAGTGTTCCCCATTAGCAGCTTTTACTTTTCTCTGGCTCATGATTATCTATTCCTTCTCTGCCCAACTGCTGTTCTCATACTCTTGCGCTCCACTTCCACCTATCATTTCCTCCTTTACCCTGGTTCCCCCCAACCCATCTTCTGCATATATACCACCTTTTCCTCACTACACTCAGTTCTGAGGAAGAGGACACTGGACCCCGAAATGTTGACTCTACTTTCTCTCCACAATTTCTGCCAAACCTGCTGAGTTGCTCCAGAAGTTTCAGCTTTTGATTGAATTATGAGGGCTGGCTACATCACCTTTTTAATTTTCTTCTGGGATGTGGTTGTCATGGAACCATATAGAGGTCTATGGCACTGAAAAAGGCCCTTTGGCACATTTTGACTGGCACAGATACGAACAACCAACTAGCTATTCTAATTCCATTTTCCAGCGCTTGGTACATGGTCTCGTAGTCTTGACATCACAAGTGCACATTGGAATATTTCTTTAATGTTATAAGGGTTTCTATCTGCCATTTCAGGCAATGAGTTCTAGATTGCCACCACCCTCTGGGTGAAAACATCCATCTTCACATCTCATCTAAATGTCCCTCCCCTTACCTTAAATCTATGGCTGGTCATTAATCCCTCCAAGAGGAAATGTTTCTTTCTGTCTGCCCTGTTGATACCCCTCAAAATTTTATACATCTCTATCATTTGCGGTCTCAATCTCCTCTGCTCCAAGCCAAACAAGTTTAGTCTGTCCAATCTCTCATCACAACTAAAACTCTCTCGACCCGACAAAATTTTGGAAAATCCTGCCTGCACCCTCTCCAGTGCAATCACATCCCCTTGTAATGTCGATTCCAGAACGGTACACAATACTCGAGCTGTGGTCCAACCTGCGATGCACTTATGTCCTTTAGAGAGGGAAGCTGCCATCCTTCCTATGTGACTCCAAATGATGGCTGGACAATTATAAATGGGCAATAAATGCTGGCCGAGCCAGCAATGCCCTCATCATGTGACTGATTATATGAAACAAAAAACAAATCTTTATATAGATCCAGCAAACATTTCTCAGTTCTTAAACTCAGTGCCTTGGCTAATAAAAGTTAGTATTCCATATGCCCTCTTAACCACTTTATCTATCCTGATGCACTAAGGGACCAGTGTACGGTACATCAAGGTCCCTCTGATCCTTGGTTACCAGGGTCCCACTGTTCAACCTATATTTCCTGGCCTTGTTTATCCTTCCCAAGTACAACATATTTGTCTGGATTGAATTCCATTTATCACTGATCAGCCCATTGACCAGCCCATCTGTATCCTCCTGTAACCTAAAATCGATCCTCCTCATGATTTACTATCCCACCTATTTTTGCATTGTCTGTGAACAAACTGATCAATTCTTCTCTATTGAAGTCTCAATCAATTATATAAACACAAACTGCAAGTGTGACTGGCTGGCTTGGCATTTTACCCAATGCTAATTGCCCAGAGAGCAGTTGAAAGTCACCCACACTGCGAATGGAGTGTGATGGAGACACTTGGCAGCAAGAACAGCTGGTTTCCTTCTGTAGAGGGAATCAATAAATGAAATGGGTTTTTATGAGTATTGACAATGGTTTCAGCGTCATCATTATACACATAATGCCAAATTTTTACTGTATTCAACTTCTGTCTCTGCCACAGTGGGATTCAAACTGAGGTCCCCAGACCTTTATACAATCTCTGTATTAACAGTCTGGTGATAACACCACAACATCTCCTCCAGGGGTACCCAGCACAGATACTAGTCTTCAACCAATTCGATTCACTCCATGCAATGTCAAGAAATGGTTGGAGCCACTGGATACTGCAAAGGATATGAAGCTTGACAATATTCTGGCAATAGTGCAGAAGACTGGTGTTCCAAAACTGCTGGCCTCTACCCAACATGGAAAATTGCCCAGGTATGTCCTGTACATGAAAAGCAGGAGAAATCCAACCTGGCCAATTATTGCTCCATCAGTCTACTCTCGATCTATTCTGAAGTGATACAAGGTATCATCAACAGTGCTATCAAGCAGCACCTGCTCAGCAACACCCAGTTTAGGGTCCACCAGGGCCACTCAGCTCCTGACCGCATTATAGCCTTTGTTCCAACATGGACAAAAAAGATGAAATCCAGGGGTGAGGCGAGAGTGACAGCCCTTGATATCAAGGCTGCATTTCACCGAGTGTGGCATCAAGGAGCCCTGGCAAAACTGGAATCAATGGGCATCAGGAGGCAAACTCTCCACCAGTTAGAGTCATACCTGGCACATCGGAAGCTCGTTGTGCTTGTTGGAAGTTAGTTATCTCAGCTCCAGGACATCTCTGCAAGAGTTCCTCAAGGTCGTGTCCCAGGCCCAACCATCTTCAGATGCTTTATTAACAACCTTTTCTCCACCAGATTAGAAATGGGATGTTCGCCAATGATTACACTATGTTCAGTACCACTCATCATTCCCCAAATACTGAAGCAGTCCATGTTCAAATGCAACAAAGTTGTGGGCTGATAAGTGGCAAATAACATTTGCGTTACGCAAGTGCCAGGCAATGACCATCTCCAATAAGAAACAATCTGATCATCAAAATTCAGAAAAGTTAATGGTGTTACCATCACTGAATCCCCCAATGTGAACATCCTTCGGGTTACCATTGATCAGAAACTGAACTGGACTTGCCACATCATCACAGTGGCTGCAAGAGCAGATCAGAGGCCAGGAACACTGAGGTGAGTAACTCACTTCCTGACTCCCAAAGCCTGTCTATCATCTACAGGGCACAAGTCAGGGATACTCCCCACTTGCCTGAATGGCTGCAGCTCCAACAACACTCAAGGAGCTTGGCACCATCCAGGAGAAAGCAGCCCATCCACTCCCTCCACCACTGACACTCAATAACAGCAGTGTGAACTATCTACAAGATGCACTGCCGAAATTCACCAAGCCTCCTTAGACAGTACCTTCCAAACCTACAATCACTTCCATTGAGAAGGACAAGGGCAGTAGATATATGGAAACACCACCAGATGCTAGTTTCACTCCAAGCCACTCACTAGCTTTACTTGGAAATACATTGCCGTTCCTTCACTGGCGCTGTGTCAAATAACTGGAATTCTTAAAGCCACATAAACGTGAACAGTAACAAACCAGATGTACAGACAGACACAGACACACACAAAATCCAGTTCCTTACCCCACTGATAGAGCTTGGCCTCTGACAGGCTGCAATGGTCAATTTGAAAGGAATATTGATCCTCATCCCCAGCATTGATTTCAATCTCTTTCTGGATCTGATGGGTCCCATCATGGTTCGGTCGAATCCCCGAGGATTGTGTCTCAGACATGACCTCTCCATTCCTTAGCCAGTTCACCTCGATGTCTACAGGATAAAATCCAGTGACCAGGCAGGAGAGAGTGAGCGGCTTGTCCTGACTATTGGACTCACTCCTGGAGATGAACACTTCAGGCTGAACTGTGATGGGAAAGGGTGAAAACACAAACAATAGACAGACACAGAATGGAATAGGATTATGGTTTGTTTGATCAGTAAAGTTAAAATAGAACTTGGGATCAAAACTGAAATATATACCTTTCCTTTCGAAATACTGCTTTCCTGAACAAACCCTTGCTCCAGATGCATTTCCCAATACTTGTTCCAGGATTCATCAGAATTCCATTTCTCTTTCGTCTTCACTGCATTGTGATTGGTTGCAATGCATCTAAATCTATCTGGCCCTAAACTCATGAAATCCTTTCCATCAAATCCAAATCTCATCGATCTCTTCACAGAGCCATCACCAGTGATTTCAACAGTTGCTATCCATTGAAAGGTGTGAATTTCTGCCAGTGATTAAACCGGAATTAATATTAAAAGTTTTTGCAAAAACTTACAACCGGTCTGATCAGAAGGGAAAGGGAAGCTATTATCTGATAGAACTGGGAGATTATAGTCCAGTAGTGACTGATATCAGGGGTCAGCATCGGGAGATGGACAGAGTGGGGTGACGCAGGGGTTGGTGCTAGGGGATGGACTGAGTGGAGTGACACAGGGGCTCGTGCTCGGGGATGGATTGAGTGGAGTGACACAGGAGCTGGTGCTCGGGGATGGACTGAGTGGAGTGACGCAGGAGTTGGTGCTTGGGGATGGACTGAGTGGAGTGACGCAGGAGTTGGTGCTCGGGAATGGACTGTGTGGAGTGATGCAGGAGTTGGTGCTAGGGGATGGACTGAGTGGAGTGACCCAGGGGATGGACTGAATGAAGTGACGCAGGGGCTGGCGCTAGGAGATTGACCGAGTGGAACACGCATGATTATCAGTTTCAATGCAAGTCAATATAGTTATTTGTCATCAGGAACATTGACTTCTTTGCCATGTATACACATGGTCAGTCATGTTCATACCTGGCAATTTACTCCCTACTGATTCATTTGTCACAAAACTACAATCATCGGACAATGCCTGTGCCCAGTGGGGATCAGATAGCTCAGTTGGCTGAACTGCTGGTTTTTGCTGCAGTGTGATAACAATAGCGTGGGTGCCATTCCCACACAGGCTGACATTACCATGAAGGACTTTCCATCTCAACCTTAACCTTTGCCAGGCGTGTTGACGCTCAGTTTAAACTCATCACCAGTTCTTGCTGTCTCCAGTGAGAAAGCATTCCTCTGAGACTGGGGCAACTTTGCCCTTTCACTATTCCAGAGGTCGAGGTGAATCATCTGTTAACATAGGCACAAATTACACAGCCAGGAGATTTTAAATTCAATTGTTACTATTCTGACTACAAAACTAATCTTCCTGATGATGAATACAAATCTGTTGCTGATTGTCATAACACCCCACTTGTTTCATGACTTTTGTTTAAGGGAAGGAAATGTGGTCTGACTTACAGGTGACTCCAGGCCTACATCAATGTAGCTTATTCTTAACTACCTTCTGAAATGGCCCAGCAAGTCATTCACTTCAGAGGCAATTAGGTATCATAGAATCCCTACAGTGTGGAAACAGAACCTTTGGTCCAACAAGTCCACACCAAAACTCACAGCATCCCACCCAGACCCATTGCCAAAAACCTGCCTAATCAACACATCCCTAAACACTGTGGGAAATTTAGCATGGCCAATCCACCTAGCCTGCCCATCTTTGGACTGTGGGAGGAAACCGGAGCACCCGGAGGAAACCCACGCAGACACAGGGAGAACGTACAAACTCCACACAACCTGTCACACGAGCGTGGAAGCGAACCAGGGTTCCCGGCGCTGTGAGGCAGCACTGCTAACCACTGAGCCACCATGCCGGTCTCAAGGATTGGGAAATAAACGCTGGTCATGCCGGTGATGCCCAAATCACTTTAAATAATTTAAAAATGGAGTAAAAACCGAAAGACCTGCGGATGCTGTAAATCAGGAACAAAAACAAAGTTGCTGGAAAAGCTCAGCAGGTCTGACAGCATCTGTGAAGGAACAAGTAGAGGTAATGTTTTGGGTCTGGTGACCCTTCCTCGGAACCTCCTCAGTTCCGAGGAAGGGTCACCGGACCCGAAACATAAACTCTGTTTGTTCCTTAAAAAAATGGAGCGACTGCCTGTCCTTGATCGTCTCCACTTCCTTATCTGTCAGATTAATTACTACAGAGATTTCCATTCTCCTTTCGCACTGCCTCCTGGATCTACAATGTCTGTTCTGTAATACTGGAGAAGATCAATCTCCCCCTCAGATATGAATAGACATTGCAATTAGATGACAGGACTTGCTCAGTCCTGGAGGATCACAACCATCACTTCGGATTCTCACTCACTCAATCACAAACCATCTCTTGATCTTCGAGAATGTGACATGACTTTATAAATATCTCATTCAAAATAGGGAGACAAAATAAAGTAACTTTCTTCATGTCTTTCATTCATACTGTGCTACATGCTGCACACTCAACTGTCATGGGATAAAGCATAACACAGGATAAGTACCTGCCTGTCATTCATTGAAAAGAATAAGAATGAAATAAGACTTGTATTTAAAAAGCAAGTTTCTTGATCTCAGGACATGCTGAAGTGCAATGCAGTTTATTAATTTTACTAACAGTTTTAAAGGAGGAAATGAGGGAGATTTTTTGTCCCCAGATAGGCTCTGATAAACTGCAAATAATTAATGATCAAATAGTCTGGTTTGATGACACTAATTAAAGTTTAGTATTGACTAGGGTGTTGGGGATAACTTCCCTGCTCTTCTCGAAAGGGTTTTCTACATACAGCTGATAGAGACACAGTTCAGCATCTTATCTGAAAGATAGCAATTTCAACAGTGCAGCTCTCTGTGAAGACTGAACTGTCATGTTCATTTTAGTTGTTGCATTTATGCCCTGGGTTGGGCTTTGTACCTACAACTTTCTGATGCAGAATCCAGAGGGTCACCACCTGCCTGACAGTCAACATTAACCTGCAGAAATTCCATATCACTGATCTTACCAGATGTCTGGTTTGTACTTTTCATTAGTGTATTCAGATTCTCCTTTGCCATGTCTGATCGGGTATTCCCGAGACCTGTGAGATATTCCCAGTATTTTGCATCAAAATAATCTTCCATGAACTGCTGTCTGGGGATCATCCGACAGGTAATAGTGTCATGATAGTTGAGTTGAATTCCATTGACCATTGCAATATTAGTCACCTCAGGAAAATCCTTCATGCCAGAGACTGCCATGTAGATCACAGTCAGTGAGTCAGTGCCTGTAAATATCAATGAAAAGAAAGGGTTAACAAACATTTACACAGACACCATCTGATCAAAGTGAGCCCTATCCTCTGTGTAGCAATCTCCAATATTCCACCACTTTGTCAGACCGTCTGAATCAAATTCATCGTCTGGGTCTGAATTAGATGTTGCAGCATCTCTTCTCCACCTTGTACATGACAGATAGCATCTTTACAGGTTTAAGCCAAGTCACAGCACGGTGTTGTATATGAATTATTCTCACTCCTGCCCAAATTTCCTGAGATCACATTCATGTCGAATATGAACAACAACTTGATCTGGGTGACCACAATCTCATGGGCTGTGCTTGAATCTCCATTTCTGGAGGAATGTGATGTCCCTGAATGGCGAGGAACATTCACAGAGCTGCAGAAAGGCCTGTGAGATTGGGGTTGCATTTTCAGTTGGCTTTGAGAATGCCTGAGAGAGAGGAAACAGAGAAGTCACGCTCACCAATGACATCGATAAGGTCTGCCAGGTGTTGGTGAAAAGCTGGAATTCACTGCAACTCACTGGAGGAGGTGGCTCCACAAATAACCCCCTCCTCACTGATGGAGCAGCCCAGCACATCAGTGCAAAAGGATAAGGCTGAAGCATTTCCAGTAATCCCCGGCCAAAAGTACTGAGTGGATGATACATTTTGGCTTCCCCCAGAGATAAACAACATCTCAGATGTCAGTCTTCAGCCAATTTGATTGGGTCCATTTAATATCGAGAAACAGCTGGAGATCCAGGTCACTGCAAAGGCTTTGGGGCCTGACAACATTCCAGCAAAATATTGAAGACTTGTGCTCCAGAAATTGCTCCACCCCAAACAAATTTGTAGTAGTACAGCTGCAACAATGGGGTCTACCCAACAATGTGGAAAACTGCCTGGACATGACCTGTACACAATAAAAAAAAAGGACAAATTCAACTTGGCCAATTAACCACCCCATCAGTCTAACTCTCAATCATCAGTCAAGTAACAGAGGGGGTTATCAATAGCTCTATTAAGCAGCAACTGCTCAGCAATAACCTGCTCACTGCCGTCCTGTAATGGGTTAAACCAGAGCCACTGACCTCATTCCAGACTTAGTTCAAACATGGATAAACAGCTGAATTCCAGACCTGAGGTGAAAGGGACTCACTGGACATCAAGGCTTCATTTAACCGAGTGTGGCATTAAGGAGTCCAGCAAAA